GACTCAGTGGGAGTGTTCCAACCCCTTTTGAAGGCCTATAGATTCGCTCCATGCCAATGATTCCAAAGATCTTGGCTATTAACATTTCGGTGCCTCTAAGTCTCAGTTACAACATGAAACTGGTCTGGATTTATAAAGGTCCTCATTACTCGAAGAATGCGTGGGTGTCGGAGTAGTCACCAGATTGCGAAAGAGACATTGTCTAGCCGGTTATGATGACGTTCATGCGTCGACAACTGTCCAGCAAGCAATCTAACGTTCGTACCTGAAGGGCAAACTATGAGGAAGGAACTCGAAAAAGAGACATTGTCTAGCCGGCTATGATGACGTTCATGCTTCGACAACTGTCCAGCAAGCAATCTAATGTTCGTACCTGAAGGGCAAACTATGAGGAACGAAACCAAAAGGTGTTTGCATGACACCCGTGTGCCGCTTCCTCCTTTTCGGTCAGAGGGAGTTTCCGATTTCTTCATTATTTACCAAACTTTGCAATGTACGTTAAAGTAGAAAGCTTGTGGTCGGACCATCGGAAAATGCTAAAAGTATTCCTACCGTTCTACAAATAAACTAATTTGCATATCAATTTGGTTTCTACGGGAGAGCCATTTGAATCCCTGATGAATGCTCCGTTTACGATATTCTTCAACTGAACGCGCTGTACAGAGGCCACTTAATGTTTCAATCGGAACGATGTCACAGTATTTTTTCATATAGAGAACTACCCACAACGATGCTGAAAACTCTTAGACAACCCACAACCGGTTTCGCCCTTATTGGGTAGACACAGTTCCCGAGTTTCCGTCAACCTTATGTTCAGCTTGAATCCAAATTGGACTGATTTCGACGAACACACTCATTTGCATATCAATTTAGTTTTGACGGGAGGGGAGACTCAATCTCTCGTTTATGAAACACTGCGATATATTGAATATTGTGTTAACTAAAACAAGAGGCGGCCATTGTGCTGTACATTCAGTTGAAGAATACCATAAAATAGAAATTCAGGTGAGTCCTTCGTGAAAACCAAACCGACGCGCAAATGAGCGTGTCTGTCGATATCACGGTATATTTTCATGAAACTACACATAAAGTTGAAGAATATCACAAACGAGTTTCAGGCGAGTCTCCCGGGAAAACCAAACTTGTAGGTAGATGAGTGTGTTTGTCAAATTTCGTGCAACTCAAGTTCAAATAGAACACAAGGTTGATGGAAACTCGTGGACTGCCACTACATGGTGAACCCCAAGAAGGGCGAAACCGGTCGTGGGCTGTCGAAGAGTTTTCATACTTGAATAATTTCTCCCACGAAAATATACTGTGATTTCTCGAATACTGATGAAATTGAAACAGTAGGCGACATGTGTGCGGTACATTCAGCTAAAGGATATCATAGTGCTGTTTTTTTTAAGGCCCGCTGTCATATGTTCAAACCACGAAATTCCCTTTGATGCTCTGGTTGCTTTTTCCGGCGATTCGAACCCATTATACACAGAATTTCGAAAGAACTGCCCAAAGATGCACTGACATCTGCTTGTCGCCAGTTAAGTTATGGAGAACTCTGGGCAAGATGAAATGACCGGATTCCACCGGGACAATTTACTGTAATACAGATCTAAAGAATTTATATAGTGGACACAAAAATGAGTGTACCAAAGAGAGTATTTCACATCAGAAATACGAAATCCAATTGTAAGGAAAAAATGACCGAACCCTGATCTTTTCGTCTGTATTTAGTTGTTTCTTCCTGTTCCTTGTGGATGTTGTGGACCAACTGTCAATTATCCAGTAAAAATTTGTCTCTACTTTGATGGAACCTTGAGGAATGGTTGGCTTTATGTAAGTGATACATTATGGTTTAGTGTCCGCTCAAACTCATTACCATTCGAACGGATATAGTATCTGTTCCATGCAGCAAGGAATGAGGTTTCCTCAAGGCGGTTATTTTATTCCATCATTACTCATGCATTGAATATTGTTGTCGCATCCCCTAGAGCAGGACATGGTCCGTTGGGAGAAAGGGACCGTCCCAGACAACTTGAGTGAATTAATGATAGTACCCAGGTTCAGAGGGTAGGGTAAGTGAATGCAGTAACGGCAGGGCGTCAGCTTGACTCCCATTGCAACAAGACTTCTGGAGTCGCTGATTCCTCGTCTTACGGGAAAACTTGAACCGTGAGCATCAAGCCGGACTTCGACCGGGTAGAGGCTGCGTGGACCACATAGTCGAAGCCCACCAGGTGTTAGAGAGACGTCATATGTGCAGAGAGCCCACAAAATGAATCTTGGCTACAAAGGGTGCATTGGTTAGTGCTTTTAACTGTGCTTCCTCGGGGTTACCCAGAGGTTAATGAACATAATCTGGTCTTGATATTCACATAATTCTGGGTATGATGGGCTTCTTAGAAGCTTCACTAGGCGGTGTGCGGCAAAGGTGTCCAAACTACCCGTTCTTATTCAAATCAGTCGTGGATCAATTAATAGGGCGAATGCTGGAAGCTCTTCAAAACCCTGGTGTTATAATCGTTGCTCATGGGAACTGTGGATATGGATTACGCAAACTACATTGTCCTCATTTTTGAAGGCGGAGCCCAAGTCCAAACTGTTGTGTAAAATGATCGTGCGCTGGAGACATTACAATAAATGGCGGCCAAGCTATGTCAGTAGCGTTTATGCTTTCACTTTCTCTCTAGATTGCCCGATGGAGCGTTTGGAGGTGTCTGCACCTCATGGCGCTTTAGGAGAGCTAGAGCCGGGTCCCCCGCTCATCCACCCCTTCTGTTCTAACACTGAATATAATTAAGTAAAATTTGAGGTTGAACGGGATGGAAGCTTCAGTATGAACACTTGCTGTCTCTGGTTTTGCCTAGTTGTTTAGATGACGCAGAGACACTAAGACTGGATTCCGGACAAGATGGTACTTTTCTGCCATTCGGTATTACAGGCATGCCTAAACAAGCCTGATCTCCGGAATGTCTGAAATGAACCCACTATATTCGTTAGAAACGACCACATTTCACACTGGTCGAATATAGGTGCAAATATGTAGAAAGCCCAAATTTTGGCGAACAAGCCGAGGTTTTCCTTCCACTCCGTTTTGCCTCCGGTAAAAATCAGTTCATACAACCATCATGGCGCAAAACGGAGTGCCGATTGCGGGTCTTCCGGGGAAGTAATAATGGATGGATCGCCTAAGCCAAATGCTAGAGCACAGCAAAATGCAGAGACCAATATTGGAGCCTTAAAGCATTGACAGAGGCCAGCCTTGTCGCCAATCACCTCAAATCCGTAAAAACTCAAGAAGAGGATGGCATTCTTTCCGGAAAGTTTGATAGCAGTGAGTAGATTCATTCTCAACAAATTTTCTAGAAAACGACGACTGCTCAATCGGTTTCAAGCGTTTTTCAACACGATGGCATTCCCTCTTCAAAGTGTATAAATATTACCCATCCGTAATGTACGCTATTCTGTTCCGTTTGGGAGGTGAAGTCTATTTTTTCTTACTAGGGCATTTTTCCTTGAATCCCCGAGAAAGGTGTCAAGCAGTGAGAAGAATTTACCACGGAACCAGTCTCATGGATAATACTGCTAAGATTTTTGCTTCTGTGCTTCTTGAAAGCACGAAACGCTCAAAGAAGACCCAACCAAGGCGGTTTCCGCCCCGACAGAAGCTGTATGGACCAGGTATTCTGTGTCAACTTCCGGGACACTGGGCCAAATTTCAACGATCTGTTTCAGACTTGCGCATTGAAATCGAATCGCTATAGACCATCCTCTTTGACGACGGGATACCAACCAAATTCATTGCTATCACCGGAGCTAAGTGTTTGTCGACGGAAGCTAGAGTCCTAGTTTATGGCGAGGAGAGATTTGAGTTTGGCCTTGCATCTTGTACGAGGCAAGGATGTTCCTTAGCACCAGTGATATTCTTTTGAATGATGGGAAATATATTCGAGCCGAAGTTTTTGATTGTCGATCCCAGACGTGTCAAAATTGAGTTGCTCAGGTCACCTACCGTGCAGGACTCACCGGATTTGCGACCAACACTAGCACGGAAAGGTTCTTTTCCACGCAGCTAAGTGCTCAGCGAGAAAAAGTCCTTACAGGTGGTGGTTGTCCCGGAAATCCACGGTCCATTACCACTGATGCTTAGGACAGTCTGGACAGGATCAGATAAAATCTCCAAATCAGTGATTAGAGAACGCTGCTACATCAGAAAATACTGCAGCAGGGAAAAGAGTTGTTCGGTTGCGTTGCACGGAAACTCAGAAGCGAATTTTACGAACCTAGACTAACTCCTTCGCCTTGCCAGGGGTCATCATCACCATTGGGGCACAACATCAGCTCACAAACACCGATGCTTCTTAGGTGTGCTACTATAATTTATTTGAGGGCCTTATCAAGAAAATGGATGGGGAAGGGACTTCGGGTTAGTCTACCACAGTCAACCCGAAGTGTTCACACCTCCAGGCATTCAATCAGGCAATTTAGACAGAAAATAACAAGAACGCTACTGACATCGGTCAACAGCCACATCTTGCAGCGTCTCCAATCAGACCCAGTGGGGGTCACACGGCCCTCCATCTTGGAAGGCTAGTAGCACCGGCAATACCCAGGCTTTTCGTGATCGGTTTTATTCCCCTCTGCCTGGTCAAAGGTTGACCACATTTCTGCTTGCGCCACTCTGAACTGGGCGCTGGTACCCTTTTTAGCGAATGATTCTTCAGAATGCGCAATATATGGCCCAAACGATGCAGCTTCTGATGCTGGATGTATTTTTCAACTGAAGTCCGCGTTTCAAAACCGAACGCTCGTCTTCTAGCTGTCTCGTTGAGGAATTGCCGACACTAGCTTGCATGTGCAACGGTTCATCATCATCATCAACGGTTGTTGATGACCTGAAGATGTCGCAGTTCTGCGGCTCGACCAGTCTCACAGTAATATAACATAACAGCCTATAATCTAGCCTGATACACATGTCCTTTGAGATTCAAGGATATCTCACCATAGGCGCCTCAAATTAACAAATGCAGCCCAAGCCTTACAGATTCGTGCATTTACTTCATCTGTAACACCGCAGTCGGAACTAACACAATTTCCGAGATACGCGAAACGCGGCGCAAATTCGAATAACCCCTCCTTAGTCTATAAGTGGCGTGTTGAGTGACCGCGCGTCCAGAAGCATGACTTTATACTTTGTGGGCACAAAGCACATGCGAAAGAACGGGATAACTAGTCAGTCCATGCGCCACGGGGTGCGTCGCTTTTTTGGTGCGTAGATGAGAGCCTGGATCAGTACCGTCAAGCTGGATATGGAGTGGGAACGGTCACAAGCTAGCATCATTTGGTGCTGGAATCGGATTTGCCACCACAGACCCAGCATGTAACTGCCATTCGTGAGCAGCAGCAGCAGCAGTACGGTACATCAGCGAAGTCGACTCACTCGGCCACAGGAGAAAGTAGCCGCGAAAAAAACAAAACATAAGGTTAGTTAGGTCTAGGCGTTAAACAGCATCCAGATGATCGTACGGTCTTCCTGCTTATTCCACTTAACGTTGATGCTTTGCTATGCAAAACATTTTTATGGTCCAACAGTACTCGAAATACGATCTGTTCGATTATTCAGCTGTGGCACCCTTTTGGTGCCTAGCTTCCATGTTACCAGGAAGCACGATGGTTGGTATACCGCCAGATTGCCCATGCCTAGACAGGGGAAGTCGAGAGGTAGAGGTCGGTTTCGAACCACCGACCTTCCGGTCAGTAGATTCGCACTCTAACCACTTGAGTTATCTCGCCCCACTCGAAATACGTTGTTCCTTGATTGTTAAAAGAACAGGTTATCTTATCCAAAACGAACTTCATTACTCACTAGAACATAATCCAGGATAAACAACAGGGCCATGAAATACGGGCTTGGAATCCGACGGCACTAAGTATTCACTAACAGAATAAAAAGAGTATCATCCTGTGCCACTAATGAAGCAACTGAAAAAGACATGGATAGATTGTGCAGAGATCATTCACTGAATTTTATTGTCAAGGGAAATAATGAATAACAGAACAAGGTAATGGAGGTAGTTAAAGTACCTCGGACTAGATAAACACTAAACGAGGCTCGGCAGGCGACTGACAAAGCCCGAAGATTGTCAGGGGATGGAGACTTCCAAGTTCACTTCTTCTTACCCTGGTCAGCCACACGTCCAATAGCAGCAGCAACGGTGGCCTCGTCAGCAAGATAGTAATGCTTAATAGGTTTTAGATCCGCGTCCAATTCGTAGACCAGAGGAATACCTGCAGAGGAAAGTGTTATGTTATACGGTAATGTGAACTTTTCGTAGGGCACATGTTAAGTGTGCGGACCAAAAATTTAATTATTGTGGGGAGAGGGAGTCACTACCAAAAACTCAGACTCCCTGACACTATTGCTTGCCGCGCTATGTTTGTGCATTTGCGTCCACCGACAGGACATTCATTCATTCATGGACACTGCAAAGAGTTGGAACGACAAGTCAGCATAACCAATGCTGTTTCTTGATTTCTCGAACAGCAAAGAGAAGGGCGGTTACCAGCGTTGTACCGACGGCGATCACTTCGCCCTCAGCAATCGACTGGTAGGCAATATAAAGCCGATGATGTGCACAGTGGATGGCAATCGAATAATATTCAACTGTTCAGTGGTGGCACTCTTTTAGCCGTTGTACAACTCAAACTAAACAAGGGATGTATCTGCCTTATTACAAAAAAGCTGAGTTCTGGTGAGGGAATTAGTGTGATTATTGTGTCATATTAGGACCACTTAACTGACAAATTTCCAAAACTAGTCTACATTTCCTAGTGGGGTAAAGCCACCATACCAACCCATTTACCTCTACCTTGTCTAGCATTTGGTCAGACAACTGAGTGATAAGGAAAATAACAGCCACCATAACAATCACCGATGGGTACGGGTGCCCCCTCCCCGTGTGTCAATTGCTGGTGCGCGTTTGGCGAGGCCAAATCCGTAGATACTTTGATGTCTCAAGTGCTTTGGATCCAGTATGGCATGAAGACTTGGCCTCTTGAACTGGTGGTGGCCCCAAATATGCATCAACACACTGAATACCGATCTTACAAACATTAGGATTTGGGGTTTCGGGAACGAAGCTACACTCGAGCCCACCAAATCCACTTATGCTTCTCGCTATCACCGCAATTCCGATGCCAACCTCCCACCTTTTGTTGAATCTAGCGCAACCCTTCAATCATCCCAATGCTCCGTTTTCGAACGATCTCACTTGTTCTCCGCCTTAAAAAACTTGTTTCTTTTTTCGTTCTCCCAAATATTTCCTCTTCTAAATCCACCTTACTATCGAATATTGCTGCCATATTTGGGGTGGTGCCCCACATTTCTGCTACACTTAGGTTCGTCACTGTGTTATTTTTCAAACCATGGGAATATTCAAGCAATTACGGGAACGCAAAGATCCACCGGTGATTAGAGAGCTAAATCGTTATTTGGGCTTCAACACCAGGCATGCAGAGACGACCGCTTCTATCCAATTCCTCGAGGGATGCATCAAACTCGGTCAATACCCAAAAACTTACTGGAAACAATTACGTAGAAACCGTATCTGACCCGATGACGTCTCGCTAAAACGACATGCACGAAGTCAGCTTGATACACTGTACGCACAAGCGAGCGAGTATCAACGACTGGCCAACCAAAGGCTACACATTGTACAGGATCTCTTAGACGACGAATGTCAGGAGTTTACACCTTACGTTAGAAGTACTGCTACAAAACAGGCTGATAGGAAAACATCAAATTAAGCAAAACCCTGAGTGAGGAAAAACCGCGAGTGAAATTCCCCGCAAATCCTGAGAGGTACGTATACAACTGCTCCAACTTTGTTATCGATGAAACGCTTTTGGAGGTCCTATCACTAGGGCCAAAATTCTGCTGCCCGCGCCGTAGAGATGACAAATTAGCAACCGAGGTGCAATTCGAGAACCTATTTGACCAGACTTCTGGCCTGTTCCCGACCTCAATGGCCAACTTAGACCGCCTCAAATCCGATTTGGTCAATTGCAGCTATCAATATAGCCACGCCAGGTTGGTTCACAACAGTCCTCTCACAAAGAAACATCTAGACGAATTGAAAGCCTTACGAACGAGGAGTGATATACTGCTAACAAAGCCCGACAAAGGAGCCGGAATAGTACTTATGAACAGGGATGACTATCTCAGAAAAATGATGCAGATCTTGAATGACACTTCAAAATTTAACAACGAACAAAAGGCAAAAGACCAGACTCAAGCAACTGAGACAAAACTAACAAACTGTGTGAAGCGCCTGAAGAATGAAGGCTTGATTTCTGAAGTTTTATTCCAACGCCTGAAACCTGCCGGTACCACAATCCAGCGACTTTATGGATTGCCTAAGGTTCACAAGAAAAATATTCCGTTGAGGCCGATTTTGGATACATGTAATTCACCACATCACGCAACTACCCTATGGTTGGTCGAGATTTTAGAACCCGTACGCCAACATTTATGCCAATATAGCCTCCGTGACACTTTTAAGTTTGTAGATCTGATAAAAGACTTGGATATTGGTTCCAAAGTTATGTGCTCTTTTGACGTAACTTCCCTTTTTACCAAAGTCCCACTCTTAGAGACTATAGATTTTATCTGTGGTTACATTGACTCATCAGATTCGACACTCTCAATCCCCACCACCGCATTAAAGGAGCTACTCCTTCGGTGTACTTTCAACATACAATTCCAATTTAACTCTACACTCTACCGACAAATCGATGGAGTCGCCATGGGATCTCCTCTTGGCCCCTTGTTGAGTGACATCTTTATGGGCAAAGTGGAGCTTGAGCGATTGAATGGGGAGATTAAACGCACGCACTTTTATCGAAGGTACGTAGACGACATTTTTATGGTGGTACCAAACCGTTCCGAAATGGATGCTCTCTTGACCAACTTCAACCAGGCACATCCCTCTATTCAATTCACTTTTGAAACTGAAAGTGACAACGCTTTCCACTTTTTGGACGTTAAGTTAGTCAGACTCTCCATGGGGTCAATTCAGATATCTGTCTACAGAAATCCCACGTGGACGGGACAGTACACAAACTTCCTGAGCTTTGTGCCACTGAGGCGGAAACGAACCCTGATTCAAACTTTAACGAACCGAGCGAAACGTATTTGCTCTGCTGATACACTGGACTCCGAACTGCAGCACATTGCTAACGTGCTCCGGAGAGGCTTATAACCAAGAATATGTCCGACCGCCCTATCCAACCGCCTATCACGACCGTTGGAAAGAAGCCAATATACTTGAGTCTACCGTATAAAGGCGACCTGTTGGCGGACATAGTCAATCGCCGCTTGTTTCAATCCTTACAACGCACGTTTCCGGCTAGAACTCTGCGGTCTTGGTCGACAACAAACCCTTTGATCAACTTAAACCTCAAAGACAAGATGCCAGTCCTCACCCAGAATATGGTTGTATATTATTTCTCCTGCTGTTGTTCGGTGGAGTATGTTGGGCGCACGACACGGCAACTTTCTAAGAGAATACGTGAGCACCTTTCTTACCGGAATACCACTAACCTCAACAGTTCAGCCACCTGATTGACACCGGGCACGTAGTCATGCCAAATGAGTCATTTCAAATCATTTACCGCGTGCCAAATCGACTACCAGTATCTATTCAACGACGTTGCTTGACAACGGCCGAGGCAGTCGCTATACGCCTGCGAAACCCGGTACTGTGCTGTCAAAAACGTTTCGTACGAACGCTGAGTCTGCCTTGGTCGTGTGACACGAATCAACCGGCCAAGTCACTCAACAGCCCTCTTCACTGTCTCACAGCATCCAACTAGATGCGAAATGGGGGGGGGGGGCGCAGACAACCAATCGTTCGTGTCTCCACGTTTTTGCATTTCACTAACCAATCTTCGTAGCGTATTTCATTTTTCGCTCTTATTTTAACCATTAGATATGTACTGACCTGAAGACAAGATCCCGAAAACATCAACGTTCGTCACTGTGTTATTTTTCAAACCATGGGAATATTCAAGCAACTTAGGTAGTTTCCAGTAAAAGGTTGTAAATCTGGTTGACCCACACTCATTGATGAAATAGCTTAAACTTCTCTTTCATCTCTCTACTTACCCCGCTATTTCATCGCTACCATTACGATTAATACTTCGCTGAACTCCAACTCTACCCCGTTTCCATGACCGTTCAGTTGACAGACTCGCATGTGCCACTAAAATCACCCACATCAAGTTTCAGGGCATCCTTCGTTACTACAGGACCGTTCACCTTCAAAATCTCCCTCCACTTTATGACTACAAACTCTTATAATCTTCAATAACTCAGGTTACTGTTGAACTACACACACCTTCATGATACTAAACAGCTGTGCCTCATTCATAGGTAACAGATTTTCCACATTTCCTGGTAGTCAGTCAGGCTGCATTGGATGTTTCGCGTTTTTATTCGATATCCATCATTCTTATAGGATATCTCTGACTATGGGTTCTCTGTTTCCCTGCAAACTACTAAGTGTGCGACGAAAACAATGAACTGAAATGAAAGGAACTGCTGTGATGAGACGGTCAGTAGCTTCAGACCAACAAATGATGCTCACCAAACGCCACATCTGACGCGCTCATAGTACACACAAGACGTCGATGTGGTGAAATCAAGGGAGTAAGAGAGGACTTACCAGTTGGGATGTTTAACTCAACGATATCCTTGTCCGGAATTCCGTCCAAAAATTTGACAAGCGCGCGCAAACTGTTCCCGTGCGCAGCAATCACTACACGCTTGCAAGACTGGTGTGGAAAAAAAACACCAGCAAAAAGGTGAAAACGTCCCTGACTATTTCTACCTGTTGAGAAGCCACTTGTGGGTAAGACTTAAAAATACTGTCTGTAATTCGCCAACAAATACTAACAGTTTGTTCTGAACTCGGTCGAAGCAAATTGCGAGCAATTTCTATGTCCCTACCCAACCGGTTGTAGGTATTTGATGAGCCACATTTTTCCCAAAATAAGCCCCAACTTGTATTCAAAAATGAAAGGAACGTATGCCCCGCGGCTTATATACAGCATTACTCAACTATAATAACCCAACCAAAAGAAACAATACACTCAGTATAGTTTCCAACTAGTCCTCGTTTGCAACGACCTATTGTACGGTGCCTTGAACGAAAGAGCGCGGACGAGTAGAGACACTATCTAATTTTGGGACAATAGAATATAGTGGTTGGCAAATTGGGCTTCCAATACCAGAGCAACAATTCCTACGTCTGTGACTTGGTTCCAGTGGAGATGCAATGGGAAAGTTTCCCCCGGAAATACTAGGTATTCGGACACATTGAGGTGATCCGAAGGTGATTCGAAACCCAGCAACTGGGTATATGTTACCTCACTCAGAAAGTCGGGTAGGTGCATATAAAATAGTTATTCATCTTCTGGAAAGACCGGGAGAAAGTGATGGAGTGGTTCAGAAGAATGGGAGAGGGGGTAAGCCATTGAAGATGTGAAACATTTATGCGGATATTCTACAATGAGGTCGCTATTTAGATATGCTCACTATTTAGCACGAACTGGGTTGAGTTTTACATTCAGAAATGTATCCCCACTTAATGCCAACACAATCGTCCGGTCATGCGCTAGCTCTTCGGCAGATTGTATGACCCGATGAACTGCAAGTTACGGCGGCGACGAGTCTTGTGGTATTGGAGCAGTTGTGAATAGATTTAGCGTCAGTGAAAATGAGGACTGGCGGGGCAGACTGTATAGCTTACGACGAGAGTGAGACATGGAGAATTTATTCTCAACTGCTTAACCTGTTACGTTAACAAGTAACACCAACGATCACACAAGCCTATTTCGACCATACAAACGTGTCAGTGCACTGGTTTATATGGATGTTTGTCAGTCCTATCAAAGTTATCGCCTTCAGTAGGTAGCTATCCAGTTCCTGAACTAACCAAGGCTTGGCATGTCCTACACTCTCCTTTTCCGGTGGTCGAAACTGTAGCGGCTGCAACCAATGTGCCTGTGGCACACGGTTTATAGAAGATAAATTGAACTGAAACTGGCTTAGTTGAGATGCCCCATAATTCTTCGTGTGTGCACATCGATGTTTTTCTTGGTCAGAAGAGAGATTTTGCATTAGGGGGTTTCATGCATACACTTGTCGGTAAACATGTAAAGTAGGAAAAAACATCCCCACCTAACGCCGAAAAAAAACTGCTGGTAAAAGTGGTGATAAAACAATTTCAACCATGAATGTCCCCTGTTTAAAGCAGACGCTTACTTTGATATCAGGGACGATTTGATCAAACCAACAGGGAAGAACTCGCTCCACGGTATCCTTCAAACACTCCGTGACTGGGATGCACGCGGTGTGCAGGTGCTGAAGGAGTGAAAATGATAACCAAATCTTTACCATAATAAAAAAGCTGATGGAAGACAAAACAGTTTAAGTGACAGTGTTTTGAGGAACTATAGAATAGTCTGATATAGTACAGCAGTATAGCCTGCCAACTGTGGTGATATTTCAACCACTTTAAGCATTGATGACTACGCCTACGTACTCGGCGAACTAAGTGCAGGACCGACACCCAACTTCCAATCGCTCAAACGGATAACAGTAACACATTCTCGCCGTAAATTTGAGCAAACATTGAATGATGAACGTATCCGATTGGACATCAAACAGCAACTATACGGAGCTCTAGAGGATCGACTGCCAAAAAGAAACAGAATGTAAAGCCGCCCAATGAGAAGACTGCTCCGGCGTAAACCCGGAGCGATGCTAGTTTCTGATTGCAGGCCATCGAACATAAAACTAGTGGGCGCATCTGGGACGCTAATGAGTTGCTCATAATAGGCCACATATGCTAATCCTGTTACCGATGAAAGGCACTCCAGAAAACCCCATTTCGAAAGGCTTCTACTTGGTACGGTGTATCTACGAAGAAAGCAAATATTTTTTGGCAGTTAATTTTCAGAGAGGTGCTGAATAAGAACGTTGAGTATCGGGTTGAAATCGGGTTCCAGCACACTAATCAACTTGGGCTCGTTTACACATGGAGTCGTTGCTTATCTGGTTTATACTGACGAGGCTATATTATATGACTCGCCACGACGGGGCAGACAACGAAAAGATTTTGGCCGTAGTTACTGCGCTGACAAACTGATGACAGCCGCACAAACATGGCTGAAAACTACGTTAAAAACGCCACCGAGCGTCAAGGGAAGCATTTAGTACCATAGCACTGAAGGCGCATCTGGACAGACAGTCGTACACTCTTGGCAGTTGATCGATCCAACTGTGAATGGTGTACTGGATATAGCAAATTTCTGCTATCCATTCAAAGGGCGGATGAACCGGAGAAAAAAGCCTATGAGACAATCACAAGCATTAGATATCATGCGGTTTGAAGACCAAATTTTCAGGTCAGGGCTCTCAACGTCCTAAATATTATTTTCCTACTCTAAGATAAGTAATTATACGCAATAACCAAACCAATTACTTAGTACCGGCCATTGACCGGTATAGCGGATTCTTAGAAAACCAATGGTAAAAACGAAAATAACGATACTAACAAGATAATACTGACGGAGACCGTAAGGTATGAATGAGGCAACGACCATAAACGGATGTTGCGGTCTGACGTGGTCGTGTTGAACCATCACAACATATCGGAAAACAAAGGTCAATGGATCCATAGATTGGTAACCAAACTGTTCCCAGACGAAATCTGACGTCACTGGCGAATAGAGTTAGTAGCGAATTAAGCTAACTGGGGACTCAACTGAATCCAGGTGAATGTCTTGTTTGAGACGTGTACAAATGGATGGGCCTTTGACCTAATTTGCAAGTGTATCCCTCCGATTTCGTACGCATGTGTTCACATAAGTCATAAGGTTGACGGAAACTCGATGACTGCGTCTATCTAATCAACCCGAAGAAGGACCAAACCTATTGTGCTATCAGAGTTTTCATCAGTAGTGTGAACAGTGCCCCCGTCAAGAAACTATAAGGCATATTTAAGTGGATGCATGTTATGGTTCGTCCGATGCACATACCGCATATTTAGCTTCGTTTCCAGGCCACCTGGGATCACTTGTCTGCAAGGCGGGAGGCGGAATATCGTAGGCGCGACGCCAAATTTTTACTTGCTCTTCCCCATGCTTCTCAGCAGTCTCCGACTTATTCAATCCTTGTAATCCGCCATACATACGCTCATTGAGACGCCATGTTCTGAATGAAGGGAAACAAGTTCGAAGCATTTAAATGTGACAAAAATCACGGAGACACCTGAGTAGGCATCTGTTGGCACATTACCGTTACCAGTTGCACATAAAGGTAGGATGATCCACCATGGAGAAACCTGAGCAGGTATCCGTTGGCACATTACCATTACCAGTTGCACATAAAGGTAGGATGATCATATAGAAAATGGGACGCCGTTAGGGTACGATCATGTGCATTAGAGATAATCAAGGGGGTGTACCAAACGACCGAAATGTGCAGCTTAACACGAGTTCTAGGTAAATGAGACTCCCATCTTTCAGACGTTAGGATCTCAAGTGCGGTTCCGAAGAACCCGACGAGTATGGACCGCGAATATTTATTGGCGATGTAAGAATGAAGAGCACATGGAATAATCCGAATGAATGGATCCAATTTCAAGGGCCATCTGGAACTTCACTGGTTGCACGGGTGCTGCCAACCCAAAACTCTCGTCAAACGGAAAGTATGAAAAAGCATGAGTTCCAAATTTAGGAGACACCCGGTAAAGGACCGGAAGTAAAAACACGAGAGAAAAGCAAACCCTGTATGGTAAAAGTTTAACCATCCGTTAAGAATGGGGAAGTGCAGTTGGATCCGACAATGGATACCATTCAGCCTCAACAAACGACACAAAAGCATGTGAACATAGTTTCGACATGTAAGCCACAAGGCCCCCGATCGATCTGTTTTTACTAGTTCCCAATAGTGACCACTAGGGGTCCACGGTAGTAGCGGTTTAGGAATCACGGCTAAGCGACATTACATCCCACTGTCCTTGACAAACAGGGTTTGTAGAAACGGGATAATAAATATTGGGATTAGAGAGACTGCCTCCTTTGGAAACTGGGAAGTGTAAAATCCAGATCAGGGCAAACGCATGAGTGGCGGAAGAACAAAATACCTAAAGATGATAAATGCAAGTTCACCTGACATTTGAAAAAAAAACAGAGGGATGTCATCCGGCCCTGAAGGTCTAAAAGCATTAGGCGACCGCGGAGCATCGCGGACTTTTCGATATGAAAAATAGCGAGGAGGCGAATATTTACCTGAAGGAGAAAACATATTGTACTAAATTACAACATCCTGACGATGGGTGAGTTGTCCCTGTTTATTGGCTGGTAGTTCCAGAATACACTGCTTGGGGGGAAAAAACCAGAGGGGATGTCATCCGCCCTGAAGGTCTAAAAGCATTAGGCGACCGCGGAGCATCGCGGACTTTTCGATATGAAAAATAGCGAGGAGGCGAATATTTACCTGAAGGAGAAAACATATTGTACTAAATTACAACATCCTGACGATGGGTGAGTTGTCCCTGTTTATTGGCTGGTAGTTCCAGAATACACTGCTTGGGGGGCACCGATGGATAGAAAAGTGAAACACATGAAAAAATACAATGATTGAAAGGGTCAAAAAAACATTACAATGGGAGGGTCCGAAGAAAAAGGTAGAGGGTGTGGGCGCTGCCCGTGCACATCAGAAATGGAGAATGGAAATTAAGCTGAGGGAGATCAATTAAGTGAGTCATAGGCAAACGGCACACACCCGTACCAGCCAAAAACCAGCGATCCTAGAACGCTGTAAATGTGAACGGTGGTATTCAGTCGGTCATTTTTACAAAGGCATAGGGGGAACCACACAGTGGAGACGAAAATACGAGTTATTAATGGAGGCGAGTGGCGATAGTTGTAGCAAAGCTTCGAATAAACAACCTGCTTGGTACGACGAAGAGGGTGATGCGACTTAAGATATAACCGCCGGTCTCACCTGGTTGACCGTTATTACAACACCGTCAAAGAACCACGTATTGGAAAAAAGAGTTGTTGAGGTCCTGAACCATAGAGCCTGTTTCAAAAACCTGGTAAAAAACAGTGACGGTCGACGTTAAAGTCGACCAATCTGTGCAACCGCGAGGGTGAAAACACCGTTTGTCAGACTTTTACTCAATCACTAAACCCGTAAGACTATGTGGCCGCCGCAAACGCACGTTCTGGTACATCAGTGTACGTAATCGGGGTGGGCAGCTTAGTATAACACCGAGGGTGATATGAACAACAACGGAAGAGTAACTCACTTGACAACAGGGATCCAATGCAGATCAAGTTCGTCCAGCACGAGATTCAGAGTTTTTATCGCCCGTTTCAACAGACTCGTGTAAGCAACATCGAAGGAAAGGCCACTAGTCTTGATCATTTGGCCCGCTTGCTTGGCCTCATTGACACCTTGAAGCGACAAGTCAGCGTCATGCCAACCACAGAAGCGGTTTTCTTTGTTGTACTCGCTTTCTCCGTGCCGAATCAAAACGATCTTATAAGGGGCCATATAGTTTGTTTTGTCTTCAATGAAGAAAAACAATGCAGGCACATGTAAACGCGGGACCCAACCACCCGAAAAAATAAACAATAGGAATGAAACATGTTCAGAATGCCATTCACTCTAGAGTAACGTTGATAGTTGTTTCACTTGAAATGCAACGAGTCTTTGCCTTATTAGACTAATTTATATAACTAATCGTTTTAGTATACTATTCTTACTGTGCAGTTTGGTTGGGTTTTGGCGTCAGAATAGGACATCGACCGTGGAGATAATACACTGTCAACTTAACCACATAGGCTACAGGCGTTTTAGAATCACTGGGATGACTTAGTTACTGTGCTGAGTACGGGCAAATAAGTCGGTTGCCCAGTAACGGGACGATGTATTATGATCACACTGTAGTGGTTAGAACTGATGCATCCATCTATGAAGACTGAACCGAAGTGATGGGTCAGGCTGAGCACCATGCGACCCATTAGGATGAAGCTGTCTACTAGACACATATAGATAATCGTTCAGCCATGATATCCTTTCGGACCCTACCCGAAGGAAGGGCTGAGATAAGGCCAGACCTCCCGAGCCTAAGGAGGAGCAGTGGGTATGTCGGGGTTGGATCCGAATCTGGGACCTTGCGATCAGTAGGTTCGTACCTCAACCATTGAGCTATTTCGAGCTCACTAAACAGGTATAGGCAATACAATAACATTCCGAGACGACTCAAGCATTGTTGGGGTCTACCGACAGGTCTCAGCCAATTTTGTTCACAATGTTGAACGTTTTGAAGACGGGGCATTATGATGAAAAACGCCCTGTCAGTCTTTGAGATGGTTGTAAGAGAGTCATTAGAATTTCCGTTTGAATGGGTTTAAAGCGCAGCTCTCACAGGTAACAGCAGTTTTTCTTCCTGCAACCAACTGTATTTTACTCATTTTGGAGACGGCAACATAAAAAACGTGGTAGTTTTGCCTTCACTTTTGGTGAAAGAGCGTGTCTCGGGTTAAGTCGGTTGTGATAAGGCGAACAGCCACAAGAACAAAACCATCGAAGAATGGAATGTTTGGTGGGCGAAGCGTGCACAAACAGTCTTTCCTGTTCACTCTTTGTGGAAGGTGCAAAGAATATGCGTTACAGCGGTTCTTAATCGCCTGTTACGAGAACTTCCCCCAACTTCACTTAGTACTTTGCACCATCTTTAGTAGATTACCTTGACTAACCTGTAAGAATAGATAAATGCCGGAAACCGCATGACTTTAGCACTCATGGGTTGTTATCGTGCCACGATAAGGGGGATATGCTGAACAGCTTGTGCCAGCACTACTAGGAGGCAGAATGGATAAAGCGTCAGTGATTTCTTTAAGGGGGATATGCTGAACAGCTTGTGCCAATTCACGGTAGTTGATTTATTAGTCAACAGGCTGACTGAAATCAAACTTCTTTGCACAATGAACTTGCAAGAAGTACGTGTCCATCCAATACCTCCATCGTCGATATTTTCGAGATGAGCGACAGCAACACTAGTAGAAATCGGTGCTAAGCTATTGCAGAAGGAGTGTTTTCAGAAGATGGATTCAGTCTATCCCTAAATATGGTAAAGCCTTGCAATATGGAACGTCTGTCCCAGCGGTCAACGGCTGTTTGACGAAGTGTAGTAAATAGTTCACCGATCTCCTGACAAGAGGCATAAAAAATCTTTACCTATTGGAAGACTGTCGTTCATGTTGTATCTGTAGTATTTTCGGTAGCAAACCTAGGCTGCCTTCCACGAACCTGACTAATTCACTAGGTTACTGCTTGGACTTTCACCAACTTGTCACTAGTCATACTTACTTCTCATATTCCGAGCACCACTGTTCTAAAAGTGAATCACCCCATTGATCAAGGTGACCCTGATTTACTGTACCGCAGCATGCACCGGATCTTGACTGGGCCTAATAAACAATTTCAGGACGAGTCACGCGGTTGCAAAATCAGTTGGAGCTACCGCAGCTAGAAAAATGAAACTGAATAACGTGCTACACTCAATATTTAACCGGTTCTGAATAACTGTGGGAAAACTATATCTATTTAGTGCAACACCACTGTCCTTTTTATTTGCGAATGGCAAGACAGTCGCACGTTGCTCGTTGGTAATACTTTGAGTGACAGGTACCGGCGAACATCACCAGGACTCGTCATCCAAACACAAAATCATATACATTACACTGGGGGCTAGATGGCTCAGGTGGTTAGAGTGCGAATTTCGTCACCGGAATGTCCATGGTTCGAACCCGACCTCTGTTTCTCGACTTCCCCTGTCTGGGTTTGGGCAACCTGGGAGTATCCCAGCCCTCGTGCTTCCTTTGGGTGACGTGGCAGCTAGTCACCGAATGGGTGTTACAGCTGAACGATTATTATTCGTAGGTAATACTGAAAGTGGGGGTAGAACAAATCACCATGCAGTGGCAGAATGTTCCTTCGAGATGGAATTTTGTGAGGCAGACCGAACAAGCGACTTATGAGTATTTTAATGAAAACAGCAGAAGAAATCAGGGCCGCAAAACACCAACTGTCCCTTATTGAGCGATTTGGCTGCAAAGTTCTGGACACGATTACACTCCAGACCAGGCTATAACACCCTTGTGATGCATGTCATACGGCATGGAAAACATGATGGTTGAAATTCTGACTGGCTGCCTTAACGTAAACAATGGTGACTTAGAGCCATGAACTTTCGGCCACAAGCTCGCTCACCGCTTCGGATGCTCCGACAAACAAGCACTGAGAGCCAAAGGTCTTCAACATGCAGCGGCCACTTCTCTGATCCGCAAGGTAGGGCAGCTCGGACTGCGGCATTCTATACTCTATCCTTGACAGTCAAGCTGATTTCCTGTCGGCGCTACAAATGTCTATGGTTGACAAGCGTTTCTCTGGCCTTCTCACTTTTCCTTCAATTAGTCTGCCGGAACTTATGCAGCTGCTTAGGTAGGCGAACTTACCTACCATATCGATCGGGTCATCTGCAGGTATGAAGTCTGGGCCTGATCCCATCCAATCTTGCAGCATCACTTCATACTAGGGGTACGGAGTGGATTCCGAAATGAGCAGCAAGACTGTTTTGTTTAGTAAATAGATAGCACTTTTTGAGGCTCTGGTCCAAGGAGCGAACCCCCCCTGAATATTTCGGTCTCCGAGTTGTTAGAGGTAGGTGAACTCAAGCAGCATTGTCGTGGCTATGCAAACCATACTTTTCATGTAAAACTGACAGATATCTGTCACCATATTTTCAGCTCATGTACCATCGTCATTAGACGGTTACAGGGTAAATTAAGCCCTTCTGTCAAGAAAATTTAATCGTCTAATAAAAAATGGGTCGCATTCGCCAACCTGCGACTTTTGATGATCCCCATTTTCCAAAAGCTACGAAACGGTAGACTCACTAGTTCGGTAGCTTTAACGGCTACATCAAATCAATCAAGCCTCAAAGTTCAAATAATCTGGAAACTTTTGTTTGCCACATTGACCATACATTGTACGATTTTATCGCAGAATGCACCCACTATGATTATGCAATAGCCTCACTGGGGAAGCCTTACATTTACCCCAAAAACATCAGGAACCTATACCATTTCTTAGCTGTAAATAGTAATAAAAATAAATATCGTAAGGCTGTTACACCCTTTCGGTGCCCAGCTACCGTGTCACCCGAAAGAGGTACGCCGCCCGGTTGCCCAAGCCTAGGCAAGAGCAATCGGGATGTGGAGTTTGGGTTCGAACCGCGACCTCCTGATGACGAAATTCGCGCTTTAACTACTGAGTCATTTCGAGCTACCTACGAACAAGAACCCGGTCACGGTGTTGACTAATTCGTCCAAAAACTGAAGTCGTTTGCTAAAGATTGCAAATCCAAAACAGTCGCTGCTGTGGAACATACAAAGGAAGCAGTTCAAGATGCCTTGATGATCGGAATACAGTTGAATAACATTCGGGAGAAACTGCTAACTGCCATGAATAAAAGCTTAATGAAGCTCACGAAGCCGCACGCGCTTTCGAACTTGCACAAAAACAAACATAATCTCACATACCAAACAAAAATCTGCCACTTGTTCTATATCTACTCCTTCGTCCTCTATTAATGTTGAAACAAGGGTTGCTGCCGCTACACAACAACCATTGTACTTTTGTGAGAACTCCAAAGGTTTTCGTAACAGGTGTCCTGCTAAAAGGCAAAAGCCATACTTGCTTCCGTCGATAACGTTAGGGCATGCTGTAAAACGAGAGCTGAACATGACCGTGGTCTTTGGAATTTTCTCGACGTCGCTAGAGCATACATTACTTTGAACGACACAAAAGACATCTTTACAACTAAAGAGATTACTCATTTGGGTGAGACAGCTCCCAAAGGTGTTATCCAACCTGACCCAGAATGCGCCCTATAGGAGAACTCCCGATCCCACAGAACGGGAAATCTCAGAAAAGAGCCACCTACCACTCAGTGTGGATACCAGCATTTTCAGACAAAATTCATCCTTTATTTGAAGACAAAATAGTGCCGTTTCCAGAGTAAAATGAAGGATGAGAAAATTAAACGGCGGAGAATCGAATTGGCGGGGTATAACTACGACGTCGTCTGCAGACCACGAACGGACAACCACGTTGCCGATGCTCCTTGTCGTAACCTTCGTATCAACGTTGTTGGGATGAAGAAACTCCAAGAGCTTCACGAAACATTATGCCATCCTGGAGTCACATTCTGTTCGTTCTAAAAATCTCCCTTTTTCTCTCAACGGTATTCGACGCCTGGTCTCCAACTGCTCCACATTAACCGAACTTACACCAAAATTTTGCGTCTGTTGGCGGCCAGGTTATCAAAGTCAGAAAACCTTTTAAACAGCTTAGTATTGATTTTGAAGGCCCTCTTTCCTCGAACACATGACAAGTACCTTTTAACAATCACTGACGAGTACTCTCAATTCCCTTCTGCGAGTCCCAGCGCCGATATGTCTGGATCAACTATTTTCACTGTGTATTATGCCAGTTTATA